CAGGGCGAGTGGGCGGGGACGGGGAGAGACCAGTGGGGCGGGGACGTGATGGACGGAGGAGACCGCGGGAGATGATAGCTCGGTTGAGGACCAGCGGGCTAGGCCCCAGGGGCTGCCTGGCCTGTTTAAGCCAGAATCCCGCCTCCCCTCCTTGGAGGGGTGGGAGGCAGATTGAGGAAGGGGCTTTGGATGTTTATAGCATTAATTATCCAGCACCTTACCGGGAATCGAAGTGTTGGCTGAGAGACACAGCCTCTCCCCAGTCTAGTTGGGAAAATAAGGTGAGGGCTTCTTGCAAAAAAGGAATTTAAGATGATTTACATAAACTCATACAATGCGATAATCTATTTTTTCTGGAATTTTATAGTAAGGGCAGGAAATAAGTTGCGGACAGATCAGTAAACGGCTGCCTGGTGTTCTATGACGGGTGACTCACCATCCTCCTGGTCCTCAGTGCTGACTGAGAGATTAAGTTCCACGCCACTCATCCTTACTGGGATACTAAAAACCAAAGGAACTGCAAAGAAAATCTCGATCTCTATCCAGAAGCTTTAATGCTCATGTTAATATCATAGTATTGTTTTAGAACAGTCATATTGTCAAATCAAAAAGGAATTTTATTAATCAAAATAGAGGAAGAATATAAATTAAAATTTTCTATAATGGGAATCGGGTATAAACCTATCAGACTGACAAAGATTCCCTTAATCACTGGGATTGTAGCTTTTCCCCTCTTGCTCAAAAATAACCATTTTCAGTTTTCATCCCTCCCACCTTTCTGCAGCCTTTGCTTTTCTGGCCATTTCCTGGTGTCTCTACCAGTCAGGGAAACAGAAAGCACTCTAAATACTCAAAAAGGTGTTTTTAATACTGAGACTTGGCTACAAACACAGTGAAGACGCTAGCATACCAAACATGGGACAGCGAGGCAACCCAGAGAATAGAAATAGCAGAAAGCGGCTGCCAACCCCCATGGAGGTGGAGTGAGCCAGGGTCACCTGGTGGAAGGCGGAACCTTATAGATTTGACTTGTGGGAAACTGAGCCACAGGATAAACAGCTGCTGCTGGAGACGCTGCCAGACCTAGAGAAGGCGGGGAAGTTCCCCTGGTTTCTCCATCCCTCTGGCTTTCCACCATCCCCTCGGCTAAACTTCGCTGAAGGCACACAGTAGAGAAGCCTCAAAGAGCCTCCTTCCTCGTGAATCACTGGAGAGGAGGGAAAAGCAGGGGATGCGAGTGCATCTGAGGAAGAACAGGCGGGTAGCAAGCCCCTCTCCTTTCTGAAATTCCTCCCTCGAGTTCCTTCCAAATTCATTGTTTCTATTCCTAGGTAATGGCCTGAACTGTGTCCCCCACCAAAAAAAAAAAAAAAATTCTGTTGCTGAAATCCTAACCCCCAGTACCCCAAAATGCGACTGTGTGGTGATTAAGGTAAAGTGAAATCTCATGGGGAAGCCCTAATCCTGTATGACTGGAGTCCTTGTAAGAGATTAGGACATGGAGGGAAGATCATGTGAAGACGCAGGGGAAAAAACAGCCATCTACAAGGCAAGGAGGGAAGCATCGGAGGAAACCAACCTTCCGACACTTTGACCTTGGACTTCCAGCCTCCAGACTGAGGAAATGCATTTCTGTTGTTGAAGCACCCACATCTGTGGTACCTTGTCATAGCAGCCCGAGCAGACATCCATCCTAGTTGTCGGTGACTCTTTCTCTGTCTCTCTGACCCTTCTCTGAACCGTTGGGCACGAGTGATTCTTTGCCCCAGCTTCTCTTCTGTAGCGGTTCCATGTTTCCCCCGGGTTTCAATGGCCACCCTCTGGGCATGATGCTCAGATCCTCTCTGCCAGCCCTGGCCTGTCCCAGGCGCCAGTGCCATAGTCATCTTTTCTACAGGTCTCAATTCGGATATCGTGTTGGTATCTCAGAAGCAACATGAATAAAACAATGCAATTTTCTCCCACAAATTACCTCTTTACGCTGATTTCTCTTATGTGTTTATCACATTCTCCTTTACACCTGGACCTAGAACTTAATCATCTTGGGCTCCCAACTTCTCTCCACCCCGTATCTTGTTTATTTCTGTTGATGGTACCGCCACACAGCCTCTCAAGAAGAGTCTCATCTTCCCATCAACACCTCTCTGCTGTCACTGGAACCAACATGGTAGACTCTTAATTCTCTGTAGGCTTCCCGTTTTCCACTGCTCTGTTTGATCCGGGCACCTTTACATTTGTCATTCTAAAGTGCAGCTCGGATCTCATCACTCCCCTTCCCAAACCCTTCAGTGCCTGCCCCTGCCCACTAGGAAACGCAGGCCGTCTTGCTTGGCATTCAAGACCTTCCACTGTACCCACCTAGTCTGGTCTCTGCTTCGGGCCGTCCGTACATTCACTTATTCACTCCACCATCTCTGCACACCAAGCATGGTGCCAATCACTGTGAACATTCCTTCTTTTAACCCTCTCAATAACTGCACGCTATTTATTGTCCCCATGTTGCACAGGGGGAAACTGAATTTAGAGCAGTCGAGTGACTTATGCAAAGTTCCACAACTAGATGGGGAATCTTGGAGCTGAATTTATGTCTTTCTGGCTCCAAAGCCCTTCAATAATAATCGAGGCACCTGAGAGCAAAGAATGCCCTATGCACAACAATAATAATTTCAAATGAGACTCAAGATCCGAGAGGGAATGGTGGCAGAAGGTTCAGGGTGTGCCACTGCTCGCCCTGAGGACAGTCTTCTATATGTAGATCAGACAGCCTGGGACTGTCTGAAACTGGAATGAACCCAGAAAGCTGCAGGTAGGATTTCAGGGGGATCAATGGGGCAAACAGCTGACTCTGAAAACGCACAAAGCCAAAAGACAACAGGGTCCTGTGGTCCACTGTACAGCGGCCGAATGTCACTAATTCATTACTGTTTTAAGGAACCTCAAGTATAGGAAAATCCAAAGTTAAAAATTAGAATCGAAATACAGTGTGGTGCCTGGATTGGATTCTGGGACAGAAAAAGGACCTTAGCAGAAAAAAAACTGGTGAAACCCGAAATCCATAGTTTATAAATAGTTTTGTGTTATACTAATGTTAACATGTTTTGATAAATCCACAGTTGTGTAAGATGTTAATACTGGAGAAAGCTGTAGGAAGGAACTCTGTACTATTTTTGCAACTCTTTTGTAAGTCTAAAATTATTTCAAAATAAAAAGTTAACAAAAATTAGAGGATGACCTTTTACTGGATTTCATTGGCATTCCCCCCCACCCCCACCGTCCCTCCGGAGCCATGCGGTCTTAAGCACGTCATTTCACCTCTCTGGGTCCCAGCTTTTTAGCTGTTTAAAAAAGGAGCGACACAAACCCAATCTTCTGCAGCTCCACTCTGTAGCTCAAAATTCTGGAATCCCAATACATTTATGTGATTCACTTTACAAGGATTTGATTTGCAGTAATATCTTATTCACTTTCGTGTCCCTGGCATTTAGCGCTATGCCAGCACATAGTAGGTGCTTAATAAAAGTTTCAGAAGCTAAACTGGCTCACACCTCCGTTTATAAAGTGAGCTAACACTGTTATCTCTTTTACCCAGTTGGCCACTAGAGAGAGAAGTGCTCACAAAATTTTCTCTGTTGAAAGCAAATTTATCTTCATCCAGCAGAGGGGAGTGGTCCCTTACATTGAATCTGTCCCTGGTTTGGGGATGGGAGTCACCATCTGTTAGCAGTTTCCTGATCATCGAGACATAACCTCAAGTTGGGGCCATTACTACCATAAGCTTCTAGAAGATCAGATGACCCCCCCTTACACACACATGTGCACACACACACACAGCACTCTGCAGCCTCAAAAGTAAATCACCTCCGTGAAAGTGAACTGAACTGTAAACGGGTGAGCTCCACTCCCTCCAAGTACAATGTTGTATCTTCCAGTCTCCCAGTCGATGGGAGCACCTTTCTCAGGCACAGAAAAGCATGTCCTGCCCCCAAATTCTCAACTGGTCAGTTCTGGTGCCTGCAGTCCCTCCCTTCAGGGTAAGTCATCTCCCAACACAATGAGATTTAAACTGAAGTCAGTGTCAAGTCCTGGGCTGCTGCTTTTAATAGTGTCTATCCCATTAATTTAGAAAATTCAGAATAGCCCCCTGCCCCTCCCCGCCAGTGTGCAGGACAGAAGACAAACATGCAGCTGTAAACTGCAGTCTGATGAGTTGCTAGGCGGAATCCTGGGCAGAGCCTATCTATGGCAAGAAAGACCACAGGAACAAGCAGAGGGCTGACAAGGGACT